CCGGCGGAGGTGTGTATGACGATGCCGCCCGCAAAGTCGCACACGCCGAGCCGGGCCAGCCAGCCGCCGCCCCACACCCAGTGGCAGAGCGGGTAGTAGACGAGGAGCGTCCTGCCGGGATGGTGGCGGCCGTGTGCTGGAGACCAAGGGTGACGGAGAGAGGAGCGCGGATGTGTGCGCGCCAGCCGACAATGAAGCCGAGGAAAGCCTCAAAGCGAAGCCGCTCCGCAAAGGCGCCCGTGCACAGCAGCGGGGTGATGGCGGCAAACATGCCCTGAAACGCGGCGAAGAGCACTCCAGGGATGGTGGGCGCGTTGGGCAATGAGGCCGTCCAGCCAACGCCAGCCAGGAACGGGTGGTTGAGCGCGCCTGTAGGAGCCGGGCAGTCAGGGGAGAAAGCGCCATGGGATAGCAAGGGAGGTTAAGAGCGGTGCGCCAAACAAGCCGCGGTCGACTTGCGAGAAGCAGAGAGAGAATCCGATCACGAACCAGAGCACGGTGAGGACGGCGACGCCAGCAAAGCACTGGATCAGCACGGAGACCGAGTTCTTGGCGCGGAGCAGGCCCGCCTGAGGTGCAGCGGTGTGCGACAGTGAAGGAAGCGGCGGTGAGGGCGGCGGCGGAGTAGGAGGCGGAGAATGCAGTGAGGCCGAGCGAGCAAAAGTGAGGCCTACCTCGAAGAGGCCGAGCGCGGGCACCATCAGCAAGACGCCCATCGTGCTCACCTAGGAACGCCCACTGGTTCAGGGACGCTCAGGGATCTGTTGCGTACCGGTGAAGAGCACACCAACATCCATGAGGTGTCGGCGCTGTCCAGCACACCAGCACTTGGTGCGACGGGGACCGTCGAGCAGAGGCGTTCCAACACGGCGGCGACCCCGATCGCAGCGGCCACCAGGATGTGCGGAAGCTGTGCAACAAATGTCACCCACTGGCTCTTGCTCTCACTTGCGTAAACAGGCCGCTGGCTCTTGCTCGCGCGCTGCGGCGGCGCCAAGATGTGAGCGCCAGGAAGGGCGAATAGAGTCCGCTGCTGAGCCCGCTGTTCCACTCGCTGCGCAGCCGCGGTTGATGCGCGGTTGCTCTCAGCGGCGTCGCGCTCCGCGGCGGCGATGGCGCGCTCGATCGAATTCTCAGTCTCCATTGTACCCTGGGGTGTGGAAGGGGGATTCAGCTGCGAGTTCGCGGCGGGCACCGCAAGCGTTTTCTTTTATTTTTCTGCATCTGGTTTTCTTCCCACCAAACATTGTTGCAACAACCTCTCCATGGGTCTCCAACGTAGTTTCTTTTTGGAGACACAACAAATCTCTCTCTCTCTCTAGGAGACCAGACCTTTCGATGGTTCATGCTTTCTGTGTCTATCTATCATGCTTCATGACACAGCTGCAAATGGTACAACACGTCGGCTTTGCTGGTGCAGGCCCGACAGAGGAAGGGTGTGTGGGGGGGGGAGGCTCGAAGGACGGAACATCCAGAGAGTAGGGCCAGAAGGGGAGTGGGTAAGGCGGAAGAGACGACCTTTGGTGGTTGGGTAGAAGAAGCTCAAGCCGTCTAGCTCGGTCGCAAGATCGGTTCCTGGAAGACGGAGTTGTCGCCGTGGGATGTCGAGAAGCAATGGTACCGTCCAGCCCAACATGCCCTCCAGGTTCGAGACGGCTGGTGGAGCTGGTCGATCCAAGCGGGTGGGGAGGGGGAGGCATGGCTGGCTGCAGGTCCGCCAGTCGGCCCGGCCTCTGACGTGGTGCTGCCGCTGCATTGGCTGAAGAAGAGAGGTGCGACCTGATTGGAGGCGCTGGAGGCGATGGCGCTAGCGAAGGGCGGTTGGGCCGGGCCGTGAGGGGCTGATGGCTCTGGCCAGCGCGGGGTGTGAGATTTCGTCGTCGTCGTATACTGCTGGCCCTCTCCCTGAGTTGCCAGGGCTGTGGGCTGCAGAATTGGCGTCTCTGGCGTCTACGTAGGCTCTGCAGCGTATGGCAGGCGGGACTGCGAGGTCAGCAGCGGAAGGAGAGGCTGGGCACGAGCCAGGAACAGGCTGGCCAGGTCCGCGGTGGCAGCGCTGCACGGTGCGAGCCGCAACTCCCGCCCCCGCCACCTCTCGCCCCTCCCCCAGCCCTCTCCCTCGGCCCCGCCTCTCGCCCCGCCCGGGACTCTCCCCACGCCGCCTCTCCGCCACCCGCCGGCCATCCCCGCCCCCGCCACCTCGGCCCTAGCCGCACACGCACCCGCACGCGTCCCTGCCGCAGACTGGCGCGGCGACAAGGCGATCGAGGCCGAGCATATGCGCTGGAGGCGACGGCCTCGACTTGCGCGCGATCGGCGCCTCGCTCCTCTCGGCTCGGCAACGATACGCGGCGCGCCAGCGTCGGCCCGCTCAAGGCTGCCCCGCACACACCCCTCTCGCCGTCGCCTCCTCCCTCCTTCCCCCACCCTCCCCCTCCGCCCCCCTCCCCCTCTCCCGCGGGGCGCGGCGCCCCCCCTCATCCCGCAGCCCTCGCGCCCCTCTCCTCTCCGCGCGGTCACCGTCACCGCCACCGTCACCGTCACCGTCTCACCGTCTCGCCTCTCCCCCTGCCCCTCTCCCCGCAGGCCGCTGCACGGCGCTCGCCAGCGGCGCCGCGACGCGAGCGCTTTCGCCCCCCCCCCCAACCACCACCACCGCTAGGGCCGACGGACGCCCCGCGCCTGCGTCCACCCCCCGCCGCCGAGGCTCATGGCGGCGCCTCGAGAGAGCCGCCGCGCGGCGCGGTCGCCGGTCCGGCGCAGAGGGCCGGGCGCCGGTCTCCGGAGCCGGGGGGCCGCCCGTGGGGCGAGGAGGGCGGAGGGGCGCGGCGGGGCCCGCCCAGCGGTGGGGGGGGGGGGGGCGGGGGGGGCGTCCCGGTCCCGTGCACCGAGGCGGGGCGGCGGGGTGTGGTGCGGCGAGGTCGGTGTGCCGTCCGCCGCGCCCCGGTCCCGGAGCCCGTCTCCCGGCTCCGCGGGGCCCAAGTCGATTCGTTACGGGTGTGTTTGGCTTTGTTTGCAGTCGGTGTGCGCGTTTCGTAGTCAACACGTCGCATTCGGTTCGCATTTGCATCCCCAGTCCCATTCCATTCGGCTTCGGGGCGAATCGGTATGACTGGGGCCGCAGTTTCCCCAGTGTGTCCGCGCCTCGGCTCGTAATGGTCTCACCCAATCAAAGCGGCGCCCTCCGGCGTACCACTTAGAGGAATACGCATTTCTGCGGCGAATACAAACGCGAGTACGCGCACCGGCGCGGACACACTGGAACTTGTCTGGCGGTGCTGCCCGCGCGGTCGGTACCGCCCTCTCGGCCACCCAAGCAGGTGGATAGGTGAGGAGACGCGCAGAACGGCGGCCGCGAGGCAGCCGGCGCGGTGCTCCCTCGGCGCGGTTCGCCGGAGCAGACTTTTGCTTACGGTTTGAGCCGCGGCCCGGTAGGTTGACTGAGCGGCTGGTGCGTGTGAGGCGGTGCTGGGCGGGGTTGGGTCGCCACTGCGCGATCCGGCCCCAGTCTCGGTTACGTAGATGCCTAGTCAGCACGTGCCGCCGCGGGGACTCACCCTCCCCCGACGCAAAAGCTCCCTCGCTGTGCCCCTCCGGACCGGATGGGGCCGCCTGGGTAGCGGCTGTGTGTGAGAAGCAGATGGTTTCCCGATGGGCAGACGCCTCGTGCGCCTCACCCCGCAGCGCGGCTGGCTCGCAGCTCGGAGGTCTCCTCTGGGCGCGGGCCGGCTGGCTGCACTGTCGGTGGCGGTGGCGCCTCGACTGGCCCCGCGTAACAAGGCCCTGGCAGGCTCAGCGGTGCAGCCCTAAGCGAGGCGTGGAAGAGCAGCGAGACGGCTCTTTGTGGGGAGGTCGAGAAGGCTGGCGGGCGGCGGCGTGTCTGGAGAGGGGGCGGCGGTGGAGGCGGCGGCGAGGCCGCGCGAGCGGCGGCGCGGCGGGGTGGACATCGCGAGGAAAAGAAAAAACACCTTGCACAGAGATTCTTCTTTTAGAAGGAGGTGGAAGCAATGGCGTTGTGGCATGTGCAGTGGGCGACGTTCGGTGTGTCTGTCGGTGCCTGTCTAACATCTCTGAATCGTGCGCCAAGTATCGACGGATGGTCGGGATCGGACTGCGGGCTAGAGTGTGAGTGAGTGAGTATTCTTGATACGAAACCACGACGACACACACCAAACAAAAATCTCTCTCTCACACACACCAGTCGACTCGCATCGGTTGCCTCCATGAACGGCGGAGCTATTCTCGCGCGCTGGCGACACTACTAGGTCACGCATGGCAGCAGAAGTTTATCTCTGGGCCCCGAAAGGCATCTCCAGCAGCGTCGTTACGCATGCGCCCTCCCCTCCTGGGCGCATGCGCCTCACATCTCGCCAGAGCATAAGCTCTTGGTGTGCGACGAGACGAGTTTTTCGCCATCGCCGCGAGCAGCAAGCCGCCCGCCGCAACAGCCGGAGGCATCGCCGCAGCACCAGCCGCGCCGCGGTCCCGCACCCGTCGACGAAGCTCCCCCCGCGGAAGACCGCGCGTAGCGACGCCTTGACGATCGAGATGAGCGCGCTCGAGGCTCGCCCACCTACTGCCCCTGAGAGTTGGTTACGAGTGGGATCGGCTCCCCCCCTTGGGATCAAAGCTTCCAGACCTCACACCCAACATCACAGGCGGGATCACACACACACACACACACACACACACACACACACA